GAAGAAGTCTGAGGCCAGCCTAATTTGGCTCTCTCTCTCTTTTTTTTTTAATTTAAATTACTTTATTTGTTAATATTAAGAAGAAAAGGTAAAACAAATTTTCACAACAAAATAATGAAAAAGTAACAATTATTGATAAATTACACATCATTATCTTTAGTCACTCAAGTACAAAATATGGGCATAAAAATTTCTTCAATCAATATTAGCACAACCTTTCCTATTCAGTGAACTAAGTGACACTAATGGTATAACTAACTTGCATTTTTTTCTTTTCCCTCCTATCCTTTCTCTTTCCCCCTATCTTAGTTTCTTCTTTTTATTGAACAGTTTTCTCCCATTTCACAGTGACTATTGTATATTTTGAACCTTATGGTTTCACATATGTCACTGTGGTGTGATGTTTTTCAATCTTTCTGGGAAGATACACAGAAGGGGAATACCTGGGTTGAATGGGACCTCTAATCCTAATTTTTTGAGGAATCTCCACACTGATTTCCACAGTGTTTGAACTAGTCTACTCTCTAACCAACAGTTGTAAAGGGTTTCTTTTTCCCTACAGATCCAGGAACATTTTTTTTATTGGTTGATATTTTTTTAAAAAAATTAAGTAATTTTTTAATGAATAAGGGAGAGGATGAGATAAAATAATTTGGCTCTCTTGAAAGGCACTACCTTAGTTTTTTCCCTCTCTTTCCCTTTTTCTTTCTTTCTTTTCTTTCCTTCCTCTCTCTCTCTCTCTCTCTCTCTCTCTCTCTCTCTCTCTCTCTCTCTCTCTCTCTCTCTCTATGAGACAGGGTTTCACTATTCAGCCCAGGCTGGCCTTGAACTCAGTGTTCCTCCTACCTCAGCCTCCCAAATTTTGGGATTCCAGGCATGCACCTGGTTTGTCCTTTAGAAAGGAATGTGTTAGAATTAGAGATATGAGCCAACCAATCAGTAAGTGAGGGCCAAGACAGTCCACTCCACAGAGAAGGATATAGAAAGGTAAGACAGATGGGCCATGTTCTTGATTAACCTAGTGACCTCCAGACTAACTATAGGTGAATGATTTGATTATAAAACTATGGAATATTGCCTCATATGACTCTAGTCTTGCTGATAATAACAGTATCATAGTAATACAGTGCAATTTACCCAACTATGCAGTAAGCAGGAGGGGAGGGGCAGAGAAATCCATGTCCTCAGTTTTTCTGTGTATCTCAGGCTAGCTGCTCAACGTGTCTTCCACAGACTCTGAAACACATTTATTCACTATTCGCTGTATGCCAGGTCCCAAGCTGTATACAAAGCCTATCATTTACATACTCTTGGGACCTCATGCTTTAACCCCTCAAAATGCCTCTGTATTAGCATTAACATTTCTATTATGTTATACAAGAAACCACTATTGACTGGGTTGGTTAAGAAATTCCTCTAAACCGGGTGTGGTGGCACACTCCTGTAATCCCAGGACTCGGGAGGCCGAGGCAGGAGTTCAAAACCAGCCTGGGCTACAACATAAGCTCAAGGCCAGCCAGAGCTACATAGCGAGACTCCGTCTCAAAAACACCTCCCCCCGAAAAAAGAGAAAAGAAATTCCTCCCCAGCCCATGGCTAACAGGTAAGTTTTAAACCTAAGTCATTCTCACTTAAAAGCTCATCCTTATCATAAAGTTTTGTATACCAGGGTTGGCAAATATTTGCCACGTCATACATATTTCTGATTTGAATCCCTGGAAGACAAAACTAAAACGACTTAGTTGCAGTATGTTAATCATGATCAAATGAACTAGGACTCAAGCAATTCCCATGTGCTGCCAGGGCTAGTGCTGTGTTTAGGAAGCAGTTACTGGTCAGGATGGGCTCCCTAGAGCTGCAGTAAAAAGCACATCCTAAATGTCAGTGCCTTCACACAACCAAAAGTTTTCTTCCTTGTGGCCAACTGACAAGGCCAGGCCAGCAGGGGGCTGTGTTTGTCTTAGGCCCTAGGGCCTTCGGCTAGCAGTGTCTCCGCAGCCAACATGCATGTCCCTGATTGCTGAGGCTGGAGCAGTGAGCCTCGAACATGGGGCTTACAGCATCTTCCAAAAAGTGACACGTTTCCACTCACATTGCTTTGGCCAAAGAAATCTTAGATGTATGTCAGGCCTTGAGCGTCAGGCAGGTTAAAGGACATTACTGATTCCTGTCCTCAGAGTGGTGATTCTAAGCCCATGATAGGGGACGTTAGAGAAGTGATGGCCAGAACATATTGACAACAGGTCTAAGATCTCTAGGGGCAATTACTAGTGAATTCTCATCAAAACGACATGTCAGTTGTTCACCTGTCCTTGTGGTGACAGGAGGCCCTTTAAAGTGAACATGTGTTGTTTCTTTATAGTTTACAAAGTGCTTTCTTATGGATCCTCTCATAATCCTCACAGTTCTGTGAGGGGATAACCATTAAAATGTCCCAACTTGCCTCATTCAGGACAGAGGTTCAGAAAGTGGGACAGACTTTAAGACCTGATAGTGTCATTTGGGAAAAATAGCAGGAAACTACTGTAAAGCGTCTCTTCCCAACCACCAGTGCAGTGAATTTTTATGAGGTCCATAAAACTCTGCATCAGTATTTATTCCAGGCACCACCCTTTATCTCTGTGACCCGAAGTTCCCGCTCAGGACATCGTGACATTGTGATCTAATTCTGAGACTTGAAAGCTGCCATGACCACTCCACACCCTGTCTTGGAGGACTCTGATTTGGATGAGTGTTGCATCATGTGTCTGGTCTTTTTTTACTTCCCAAGCACCGGAAAATGGATCACTGTGCATTGGCAGAGCCCTTTAAATCCAAAAGTCTAAAAATACCTTTGAGATCTTTATTTGCTCTTGAATCAAATCCTGAGGTAGAGGCTCAGCAGGGCTAGAAGCACAAGTGGGATAAGCACTCTGGTCAGTTTACCGGGTACAGTGGGAAGGCCTCCCAATTCTAGGTTCAAAAGAACACCAGGGTGCAGCATCATTCGCTGTAGGAGAAACATGGAAATAACTCAAATGTCTGCAGACAGAGGAACGGATAAGGGAACAGGCACCTACAGAGACAATGGATATTATTTATCCTTTGAAAAGGAGACACTGCCCTTGGAGAAAACATGGAACTTGGGAAATGATGCTAAGTGGAATAAAGAAACCAGAAACAGAAAGACAAATATTGCATGACCTTGTTGTATGTTTATTAGTGTGCATGTTATTAACCGCCATCATGAAATGCTGGTGCAGAACACTTATAGGTTTATGTAGCTCACAGATGTGGAGCTCAGAGGCATGGTGTTAGCATTGGCTCAGCTCTGGGGAGGGGCCTCTGGGATGTGTTATTTCTCAGTTGGTTGCATGGTGGGAGAGCTGCTGTGTGAATGAGAAACTCCATTTCAAAAAGGAAGCCAGGGAGCCTAGGGTCTCATGTTCCTTCTGAGGGTGGACCTTCAACTGACCTCAGAAACTTCCACCAGGTTTTGCCCACAGAAGGCCCCATGACTTCCCAACAAAGCCACAGTGAAGACCGATTCTCCAACACAGGAACATTTTGAGGATGAAAACAAATCAAAAGCAGAACAGTGTGAGAGGCAGGCAATGGAGAGAAGCAAGTTAAAGGAAACAAACACAGTGATGTAGCACGAATCAGCCTAGAGACCTAAGGGCACAGCATGAACCCTATGGTTAACAATACTGTACTGGATTCTGAAAATTCACTAAGTCAGATTTCAGGACACACACACAGTATCCAGTTGAGATGAGTTACGTCAATTTGTTTGACTACAGTAATCATTTCATGATGTACATCAAAACACATACACCTTAAATATACACATTAAAAATAAAATTATTAGAGAAGTGAAAGTAACGGAATGTTTACACCCTGTTGAGCCGAGTAGGAAGAAGGGTCAGCACACATTAGGGAACCCTGTAGCGGGCCTCCAATCTCGTTTGGTTTATCAAGCACAGCAGAAAGAGGAAAAGCAAGAAATAAAATGGGAGCACAGCAGGCGTCTGGGATGAGCAGTTGTTTATGGGGAACAAAAGGCCATGTGGCAGCCAGAACCTGGGCATACTGGTTGAGGCTGGGATTACTGGATGACTCAGGGCAGCAGTGGTCTTCTGCTGAGAAGGATCTTGCCTTTGAGTGTCTTTATTCTAGTAGTCTTAAGTCTTAGGTAGGAAAGGATGGACCACCCCTAAAGGGGTAATGGGAAATCTCAGAAGGGTGACACCAACAATCCCAAGCCTCCATTCACCCCTTAGGGAAGCATGTGAAACCCTCTGTTGTTACTGTGTGGTCCCTGCAAGTGCTGCCTCCTGTTTCCTCTCATTTGGGGATGGTCAGCTGCTGGGATGGAAGAGCCGCTCTGAAGAGATTGCCGCTGGTCCCCACTGCCATCTTGAACACCACGGCCCTGATCTAACCTGCCAGCTCACCTGCAGGCCCCAGGCTGCTCTTACTGACTCCTCTAGTATCAACAGGAAGCAGAGAGGAGATCTACACAACATCCCTGTCACGCAAGCCACCCAAGGGGCAGTTAATGAAGAAGCATCTCTCTAACCAAGCGTGGGTGATGTAAGCTAAGGTCCACGCTCCCGATCTTAAAGGGTGCGTTGCTTTCCAGCCAAGCGGATGTGCTTCCTCCCTTCTCCACCACACAAGGAGCTGGCATACAGCAGTGTAAGAGGCGTTCAGAAGATGTTTCCAGCACCTGAAGTGGTTGTCCTCCAACTCACAGAGAAAACATAAACAGGTGCTGTATCAGAATTAGGTCTTTTGTCATTTAGGCTGTCTGTCTGTACACCCATCCATCTATCCACTCATTCACCCAACCATTCATCAGCAGTGTTCTTCACTTCTGGGCACTGTGCACAGAGAAATAACTCCCCCTCCACACTGCCACGCAATTTACCGTACACTTGCATTGAGTGAGGCCCTGGACAAACAACTTGTTGGGCTCCTGTTTGATTTGTTTGTTAGTAAGAGGAAAAACACACGAGGAAAATGATACTCATTTTATTGCATCATTTTACTGACTAGAACGCCAGATTGAGTGAATATATGTATAAAAATAACCAAATTCTTACAAATAATACTTTGCTGCTACAATATTGAATAATTAGTGGAGGCTGGAATTATAATACAACTTTAAATAACATTCTCATAATGGATTTAACACAATCAACCAAGGGCTATGGTCTATAAAGAGAAATTCAGGACAACATGAAAATTCAGAGTTCACACTCCAGCTGTATGTTACATTTAACCATACATCTGGCAATGTAGACATTAACAAAACTCACAGCAATTCATGATGAAATAACCACTTTCTTTTTGGAACAGGCTTAGATAACACAGAAAGGTAAGTGTGGTGGATCTTTTTCAGACACAGATTCCAACACTGTCTGTGCTGCCTCATCCCTCCTACCGAAGAAGTCTGCACTAATATGCATTAAACACATGATAAAAAATTATAACCCTAAAATCTAACAAGAGACTCTTTTGAAATATCTTCTTTAAAAATGCTCATGGGACAGATGCAGGCCAGGATCTTTCTCCTTTTAGATCTAAAGGGTCCCTTTTGGTTTCATGGGCTTTTCTGTGAGCTACAGTTCACATCAGACAGGAAGAAGTATAGTGGTACTGAGATGCTTTAGATCAACAAATTAACTGACATTTAATAATTTAATGTGCCTGCTACTTTAACCACTTTTGGGGATCTGAAAAAGAAAAAAAAAATACCCAAAAGAAAACTCTACAAAACCATATTTCTGTTTCTAAAATGTACATAAGAACACTCAGAATGATACATGATCAAAGAAAGAAGTAAAATGTCCATTCTTACTGCCATGAAAGCTTTCAAACAGGAAAAGTATCTCTTATATTAAGGGCAGTTTTAAATAAAATATAAAATACTAAAATACTGAACTCTGCTTCCTCTTCCCAAAGAAGTGCTGTGATTTTAAAATCCAAATATATTTTATTTATTTATTTATTTATTTTTTGAGACAGGGTCTTGCTGAATAGTTCACACTGCCACTGAACTCACTATTGTAGTCCAGGCTGGCCTTGAACTTGTGGCAATCCTCCTGCCTCACCCTCCCAACTGCCGGGATTACAGGCATGCACCATGACACCCTGCTCCAAATATATTTTACAACTATGAATCAAAACCCTCGTTTTGGGTATATTTGAGTTACTCAACAGTAAAGCACTATTTTTCTAGCTAAAGTTCCACAGTTCCACGGTCCCTAGGCCCTCCACCAAGTGGGGCACCAAAAGTCGTATGCCAAGCGATGACACTAACGTGCCTTTCTGCAACTTTTACATCGGAATAGATTCCGTCCTTCAAGGACACATCCTTAGACAGCATCTGGTCCCTAGGCCAAAGACTCAGGCCTCTTGCATAGGCCCACTTGAGCTAGCTCTTCCCTAACTCAAGCCACCTTTACTTTTTAACCTCAAATGCTAACAGCCAGCTTGACAGCACCACCCATTCAGCAAGCTACTCCTGAAAATCACCTTCCTTCAAAGAAGGGAGATCGGTACTGAAGACATCTCCCTGAAGATGCTCCCAGATCTGATAATGGTTCGCAAAGTACGCTTCCCAGTGCAGGAACCACAGCCTCCCCAGTGGAAGGGGGCAGGCAGCCCTCCGTGAGTGTGCAGTTCTGAGCCCCACCCAGGAGAGCACCTTGCACTTCCGCCTGCCCGAGTCACATACAACAAGCTTCTTGATGAGCACACACCAGTAACCATGTTCTCAAAGTGACCACAAGCATCCGGGAAACACATAAAACCACCTTTGGGCATTTCAAAAGGTATGTTTAGTATGTTGTCACTAGTTTTGTTACTGCTTAAAATATTAAAAGTCTTTAAGAATAATTTAAGTCATAGGTCCTTTCTCTCTTGCCCTCTGTGAGATTTAAACTATATTGCATGGCGAGGTATCTGCCGGAAGGGAGGCAGGGAAAACGAGTGGAAAGAGGGACGGGGCAAGTCATGCACACCAAGATTTGATCCTGCCTTCACAAGGCCAGTTATCTATCCTCTTTGGAAGTCTTTTCGTCCAAGAAATGGGCATGCACGGCTAACTAGCAGGGGGGCTAGGAGGCGGGGCTAGGAGGCCAGGGTGTGCGTGGAGCCTGGTCGTGGTAGGAATGTCTTTCTAAAGAAACAGACCCTGGTACCATGGGCTGCATCATCATTACACAGGAAAAGATGATGGAAACAAGGTCTCCCTGCTCTTAAAGCCCAGGACAATACCAGGAAGCCAGGTGACTCCTCCCTCTCCAGGTTTCATGCCCCAGCATTCTCCAGACACACACACCCCACCTGGCCCAAGCTCTTCCCTACTGAAGCGCTTGTGGGATGCTAAGTGTCACTTCTGCCCAGCTGTGGGGTCCCAAAGCAGAACCATGGTATTTCAGCGCACACGAATCACACATTTCAGGTGCGGAGGTAGACACAGCAGTCGGCCCCGGCTGTGTTCCAGTGTGTGAGGCCGATGTCCTGTTTGCTTGTCTGTGGGCTACTAACACCCTATAGCTGTTTCCTCTTGGCCCAGGCAGGCCCTTCTGGAGCTAGAACCCCAACAGGAGTGATCCCTGCCTCTCCTGGGACAGGCTGTGAGCCACGGGTAAGTCATGTTCCTCTCACACCTTGTCCAGACCTCAGGATGCTTTCCCAATCCACCCTCTCCTAGAAAGTGTAGATACCATGAACCCTGTCTTGCTTGGCACCTTTGTTTTTCAAAGTGAAAAAGAAACATTATTCTCAATCCACTCTAGTGGGCCAAAACCCAGGAAAACACATTTCTGGAACTCACAGGACACTTTTAGATGTCAGCATTTTTCCCAAGCATGCTTTTGTGGAGCATATTGCGGGGTGTAAGGCTTCTGGCCCTCACACAGGAGATCGTTTGCCAGCTGTGGTCTCCGCCAAAGGCAGAAGTGGCGGAGCTGCGGTGGTAGCTCTTCTTACAGCTGGGGATGCAGTGCTGAGGACAGGAGGGAGGCTGTCTCACACAGGGTCCGAGTCTGCCACTTGGGAGAACGCAGTGTGGAGCTCCAAGCTCTCTGGGTAGATGCAAGGCAGCAAAGTGCAAAGAGCCTCGGCTCCACAGACAGAGACACCACCCAAGGTTTCAAAACGGCGATGCTCTGAGGTTTTAACCTCCATCAACAGCAACAGCAACAGCAACAGCAACAGCAACAGAAGGCCTCACATACTCATGAGATGAGTGCACCTGGACTCCTGAAACACACTGGACCCGACCAGTGCCTCTGCCATAGTGGGTGACAGCAAGTTGTGGGGCTGCAGGGCACAGGAGTCCATACCTGACACGTCATGGGGAGGACTGTACGTTCTGAAGAGATTATGGAGTACTGTGAAGAAATCACCATGCCCAGGGCAGAACTGTCCCCAGCAGCTGTGCTGCTTCCAGAAATGTGTACCACTGAGCTCCCAGCTTCAGGGTGGGGACAATTCTTTTACCTCTGTGTTCCCTTCCCTTCACCCAAGACCAGGATGTTCCACGAGGAGGTAAGTGAACGTATGTCCAAGGGAGCAGTTAGAAGGCATCCAGTGCGGGACAAGCCTCCCTCGCAGGACCCACGGCACAGGCATGGTGAGGACAGCACTGGCATCTCCTTCCCTTACACATGCTGGACCGTCCTTAGTCCTCCGAGGCAGACTTGAAACCAGCTGTAATCCCGGAGGGCGGTGGACAGTCACCAACAGGTATCAAAGGCTGGGTAGGAGAGAATAAGCCATTTCTTGGTTGAATACATACCTTTGGTTGAAAGCTGACACTGAGTCTGTGGATGAGCTTCTGGATACAAAGAGCAGCAGGTCAGCATGCTCACCGGTGGCTGCACCCCAGCTCCACCTTCCCTCAGGAGTTCCCTATGGCCTCCTGCAATGCTTGGAATGCAAGAGATCTCATGTGCCCTCTGACCCAATCCTCTGACCTATTCACCTGGGAGACCATAGCAGGCTTTTCTTCTAGTGTAAAGCACCAACTCAGGCCCAGGATGATGCAGCTTTCATCTCTTCTATCCATCGAAGCCTCTGGCTCCCACGACAGTGGTCGAAGTCCCAGGCCACAGGCGCTGCCCTCACAGATAACAAACATCCACTGCCTGTCAGTTCAGCTCCCAACTCTGCCTGTCCTGCCTCACTCTGGGGCAGTAGGATGTCTCTAAAACCAAATGTAAGTTGTTTTGCCCTGATCTGTTTGCTCAAAAAAGCGAGATTTAACTGTAGAAGGAAAAAACTCATAAATAAATGTGTCACTCTGATATAAAAAGCCAAGGGGAGTTAGGTGCTGTGCCTCAGAAACGTCCACTCCTTGTTTTGGGGGCTGGCTTGGAGACTGTAGTATAAGGCAACTTAGAAGCGTTAAAATACTGAATATTCAACTGCAGCATTTTCAAAACATAGTGGTATGTCCAACCCCAACTGCGGCCCAGCACCCAGTTCCGGGAAGCGAAAGCCGGTGTCCAGCCACACGCCAATCACCAACTGCAGTCTGTGGAGGTGTCTCGGTATCTCTTGGGCATAGTGCTGAGACAAATCCAAAGGGACTCCTGCATGCCCAGTGGACTAAAGTGCAAACTAAGGGAACGCTGGGTCCTTGCAATGATACTTAGTGGTCTGCTGTGGCCAACAGCCATCCCTAGCGCCAGTGCCATGTCACAGTCACTCAGAGACTCACTTGGTACTGGCCCACGTCCACGTTCACAGTAATAAGAAAGGTGCCAAACGAGCAGCCTGTCCACATCCATCTGGCCCCTTCCCCTGCAGTCATGGCTTTCATGCTTGTCTTTCTCTTGCTGTCTCTTGCCTGGCTCCAACCAGGCCTGGGAGCAGACGGTGCCCAGTGCCCAGGCTGGTGCAATCTTCTGCGCCACAGCGGGGCTTAGAACCTGGCTCAGAGCACGGGGCCTCTCTGGCTGGCTCTCAGAAGTAGTCTCTTCTCCTGCTCTCATCACTGATGAAAGATGGGTTATACTGTCCGGGGAAAATGCAGGAATGCCGGGAGCCAGGTAGTCCAGTGTAGGCTGGGTACAGTCCATTTCGTTCAAGTTCAGGATTCCTTACGTTTGTGGGCTGCTTACCAGAGAGAGAGGAAGAACAGCCAGAGATTATCCTGAGGCTTAAGGCTAAGGGTAACAGAAAGTTTACATTGTAATAGACAGGATGGAAGCAGTTAAAGAGGGAGGAATGAGTTCTGACCTAGAAGTCAGGACCCCCCCTTGGTGACTCTTCATGGGACCTGGAACACAGCTGTGCTATTTTAAAAGGGAAGCAGAAAATATTTATCAAGGGCATCTCAACAATTGAGACCAATGTAGGAAAAAACACTTGGGTTTATCCTTATATGATGTGGTTCAATTGACCCTAGGTAATGTTTAGGTTTAGGTAATGACCCTAAACTTTTTTAAAAAATACTTTTCTCTGTGGGGTGTAACTAGCATTAAATTCTTCCTGACACTTAGCAGAGAGTCACCATGAATTTTACAAGGTCCAGTGGCCACTGTGTCACAGGTGGAGCAAGGACCACAAACCCAGAGGCCCACGGTGACTCTTGGGCCAGTTTTATAGGTCATGACCTACCTATCTGGTCTACAAAAGGAGCTCCGGTTCCACAGGCTATTTGGAGGACCTCTCTTAGCAACACCAAACTTTCTTGGCAAAATAAGACACTGAATAAAGGTGATTCCCGTGGGGACAGCCCAGTGCGGAAGGTACCAGGATGACCGGTGAGCCCGCCGAGAACAACAGTCCTCCCCCTCCGGTGAGTGTCCTGCTGCTCCCTCAGACTACTGGGCTCACTGCACGCCAAGACAGACGGGGTTCAGTGAGGTCCTTCACTACTGGGGTAAGGCAACCCTAGCAAGTGCCGTGGAAACATGCAGTGAAACAGGGTCCACTACACCACAGGCCTGGGACAGGGTTCCCTGCACAGGCCAGGGTGCATGTGCAAGCCTGGGGAAAGCAGCCACACACTTCCAGCTTCAGTGAGGACAGGAAAGGGCTTGGCCTGACGGAGCAAAGAGCAAAGCCCGCACACACAGTGATGGAAACATTCTCACTAGAGCTACCCCGGGTTCAACTATTTCCAAGGACCCGCTGAAATAAACAGCTCGTTAGTCCTCAGTATGAACACACCTGCCCTTCCCACCCAAGGTCGATCCTCACAGCTCGTTCCCATAGCAACCAGAGGATTGTGGTCTCTGTTACAGGGTAGGGCAATTTCATGGTCACTGCCCTCACAGAGAAGTTGCCTGGTATCTTCCTTTCTTGGCTCAGATACCCCTGTCTATTTGTTTTATGATTGGGACAGTGTGGGTAAAACCTAGCTAAAATGCAATGTGGGACAGAAGATGCAGGGCTCAAGGTATTCTCCTCCCTTTCCAAGGGACACAGTCCAGAGGTACACAGAGCAAGTTATTAGACTTTTCTAAACCTCTGAGGATGATTTTGAGTCACTCTCTTTACACTTGTTTTCAACTCCCAGTTTTAACACTTAATCACACAAGGCAAAGTGAAAGAGGGCAGACGAGGTAAAAATGAAGGGCTCAAGGGGCAAACACCACCAAGCTTTGTTTCTACCTCTCAGACTCCCCTGTAGTAATTTAAAAGGAAGTTCACATGTATTACTGCTACCACCCTGGAAGAGTAAAGTGCTACCATGGAAATAAACTTCCACATCTCAATAGTAACACAGATCAATATCATACAAATGTATCATAAGGAAACAGAATGTAAGATATGTAAATAAGAGGCTCTGTCAGTCCTCTTGAACCCTAAACTACCTGCCACAATGAGAAAGAATTGGTTTATTTCTTAAAGGCTGCCCTGCCCTGCCCTGGGAATACCCACCGAGTAGTACACATCTGTCATCTGCAGGAGGTTTTTGGTGCTTCCGTTTTCATGCATTTCAATAGCTTCTCGACCCCACTCTTGGGAGCGAGGGTTTTTGGGGTACTCGGCATATGGGGACATCTGGAAATCTCCACTTTTAAAGATAAGCTTGCTTATGTCATTTTTATTCTTTCTGTGGAGCAAAAGATATTAAAAGGTCCATGAAAAACTTCTGTAAAGAAATGATACGTATGAAAATACCAACTGCTATTTTAGGACATAAATTAGACTGGGAGCTATCATTCTGTTAGCTGCCAACTCAGGCAGCTATTATGCCTAGTTTTGGTATTTTTTGAAGAAAGTAAAAATGCAATTAGGTATAAAAAGTCTCCTAACGAGAAAGGGGCAGTTTATCAGGGGCAGGGAGGTCAGGGCCAGCCGCAGTGGAGCTGTTGGACTCCTCTGGGGTACAGGGGTCACTACATCTTTGGGGGAGTCAGGGAAACAAGAACCAAATCACAAGTGTATGCAGTACAGGGAAGGAGAGAGCTCAATGGGTCCCAGAGACTTAGGGTACAATTTCACATGAAGTCCCCCCAGTTTGCTTGAATCAGGAGCTCTGCGGACAGGGCAACTCTGGCTCATCAAAGAGACCTCAGTTGTGTTCTGGGTTGCCTTTTGTTACCAGCAAAACTTGGCATAGAAATCAGACTCCCACCTCCCCAGCCAGTGTTCTTTCTATAACATGAAGCTACTGCAGACATCGTAACAAGATGGTTTGTGCACACAAAAGCTCCCATTTATCAGTTATCCACATTCTCATTTTATACTGTGACATTCCACCACCTGGAAGTCGCTGAACTGTGTGTCCTTCTTCTATCTGCTGAGCCTCATAGCAGAAACTGTATGTTATATTTGCTTTCGGTAAGTTTTGAAGTTTCTTCCATCTCCCTCCTTCCCTATACGGAAATTTTCTGAGGAAAGCACAGACTAACACAGGCTCATGAAACCAAATTTCAGTTCATGACTTGGTGTTGGCCCTCCGAGAAAGCTGACAACGGAGTGGCCCTGCCACACTTGTGTGGTGGGTGCAGTCTCTGTCTCAAGCACAGTGACTTCCTTCCTTGTTCATAACTACCTTCCCTTCACAGTAACTGACAGTCACGGGCTCCCCCCAAGTGGCTATAGCACACTGTACAGAACGCACTACAAGTGCAAGGCTCAGATCACTTGAGCTCTAGGTCTTGCCTCTCTATGGTAACTGTTTCTAGTCTCGTATCTGAAAGCTGAGTTCAATGTGTATGGGTCATCTTGGATGGCAGTTTGGTAAATGACAGGCAAAGGCGACACCATAAGACCTGTATTGCTGAATGATCGTTGTGGCAAACTGTTCTCTGTCACCTTAATGGAGATGGAAGGTATCTTAAAATGTCTTCATGCCAACGACAGGAAAGGTAGCATGCTATTTTGGCAGGTTCCCTTTGTTATGTCCAGATGATTCTGGCCACTTGTTATTAAATCAAAGGCTGTAGTTTCCCTTCCCCTGAAGAGTTAACCACAGAGAAGCAGGATCAATTCCGCTGGCTCTCGGGAAGCCTTCAGCCACCTTGCTGCGATGCCCACACTGCTGCTCTGCACTCCCCACTGCTGCATTTCAGGCATCTTTCATCTTTCTTCCTCTCTATCTCGCTATACAATTTACATACCATTTGATTCACGCATTTCATTGTTAGCGCACATTCACAGTTGTGCGTCCATGAAACAGAATCATTTTGAGAACAGTTTCACGGCACCAGCAAGAAACCTCAAACCCCGCACAATCACTTCCCAGAGCCGCCTCCTGTCCCCTCCCCACTCCACCCGAGCCCAGGCAGCCACTAGTTTACTTTCTGTTGTTTTTACACTTGTCTGTTTTAAGCAATACAGGTAAATGGGATCCATTAAGTGGTCTTTTGTGACTGGTTTATCCCACTTAGTGTAGTATTTTCTAGGTTCATCTCTGTATCAGCACTTCATTCCTTTTTATCACTGAGTAATATTCCAGTGTGTGGCTAACATCACATTTTTTGTTTGTCCATTCAAAAAGTTGATAGAATGGGGATTCTGTTAAGTTTTTAGCTATTAAGAATAATGTTGCTATGAACATTCAAGTTTTTGTGTGGATACAGTCAGTATATATATGTTTTCACGTATCTGGGGTATATACTTAGGATTGAAAGAGCTGTATTTTACTATCTGACTTTTTCAAAGTGGCATCACTATTTTATATTCCCACCAGCTATGAGGAAGTGTCCTAATTTTTCAATATCCTCCTCAAGTACTCTTTTTTGCTTGTTTATTTGTTTTTTGAAACAGGTCTTGCTATGTAGCCCAGGCTGGCCTTGAACTTGAGGATTTACCTCCTGCCTCAGCCTCCCGAGTACTGGGATTACAGGTGTGCACCACCATGCCCAGCTTGAGTACTCTTTAGATGAGCAAAAACTGACCCTTGTATATTAGGGGAAGACTCAGAGTTAGGGTTTGAACTCTCATCACTTACCTGCAGCAGGTGACAATTAGTGCAATGCCCAGGATAAGGAGAAGCCCACCTCCTGCTGCTGCGATGACCACTGTGATAAGCTGATAGGCTAAATGGGTTAGACAAACAAGAGCCCGGGTTGGTGGGAGCTGACAATGCATGTGGAGTAACTGTCCCCTCTGTCCACCGCCATCTGTCCCCTCTGTACCACCGCCATCACCCTTTGCCTTCACGGATGCTTAACAGCTACCTCTGCGTTTTCTCTGCACTGAGAAGCGTTCCCCTAGAATGGTGACGCCTAGAGTGGCAGCTCCTAATTCTACCTGCACTCCAGCCCCATGGGCATTTTCACCAGACCATGGTAAAAAGAGAAAAATAAAGGTGACTCATTTTTCAGAACTTAGTTTGTTTCATCTTAATAGTGGTCCTAAAATCTAAAATTTTATCCTTACATTTTTCTTTTAACTTGTTTTTTAATCATGTGCAAATTATGCCTCAGGATATTGAATCTTTTTAAAAAAATAACAGAAAACACAACATCGTTCCTTGGCCACTTCCCATTCCTTTGGTATTAACTGTTTAATTTGTAAATTTAATGCTGAGAGTAGATATAAAAACATCTGAGGTTGCTTCAGGATCTTACTTATAAAATAGGAAGGTGGCAACTCCAGATTAGATTCCCTAATTTTATAAGAAACATTACCGGTCGGTCAGTTAAATTCAGGATCTAGGAATCACTGCTTGGCCATGCTAGGACTGATAAGCTCCTTGGTAACACACTGACTTTAACTATAAAAAGTAAGCAATGGTATAAGCAAGCACCTATCATGTTCCATAAACAATACGAGGAGATTTTAAGCAACTGGATTTTATACCTGTAGGGTTCTGGCAAAATTATTCTCAATAAATTCTATGAAATATTCAGACTGATGGTTTGTTGAGGAAATGCAACTAAAATCACATTCCTAGTTTGCAACATCTAACCCAAAGGGCTATTAGCCAGCTCTCCACAGTAAGTCGGCTTAGCCCTCCTCTCTAGCACCTGGGTAGAGTCCAAGGGTAAGGACAGAGCTCCTGTTCTTACCCTCCATGGCTAAGTTCCCTTCTCCCAAAGCTTCCGATCACCAAGTGCTGGTTGGAAGTGAGATGGGCAGGGAGTAGAGTGTGAGCAGAATATGGGCAAACGCAAGCTATGCAACCTTTTACCTGCTTTTGTTTCAATAAATAGCATGGAAGCTGTACGACTGTGAAAAGCCCCTAGTATCATCACATAGGGGGAACAAAGCCAAACTGTGGAATACATTCATTGTCTCTCTTCCTAACATATGCATTCTGAAGTTTCAACAACAGTGAAGAAAAAAGACAAACCTCTTAAACACATCTACTTTACCATCATCATCCACACCTCCCTGCCCTCTAAGCTGCTGCCATCTCTTGTCTGGGTAAGGGCAGTTGCCTCCCAACTCAGCTTCCTGCACCTGCTATTACACACTCGTCACAAAAACAAGCCTGATCACATCATTTCCCTTTAGAAAAACCCTCAGTGGCACCTTCTGTTCCTAGATGAAGGTCAAAATCGAGCTCCCATTTTCTCTCCTCACTTCTAGCAAAACAAGCAAATGTGTATTTTAAAAATGACCCTAGCAAGTGGCTGTCAGGTTTAACAGGTTCCTCTTAGCAATAAACAATTTTATCTAAAAAGATACATAGCAGAGCCTGCTGTTTCCCAAACTGTCTGTGTCAGGGACCAGTTTTTGGTTATGCGCTTAGGTATCTTTTTACTGCTCCTCCTGTCTATCCTCCTCAGCGTCAATTGTCACGGACATTTTGTTTTCTGTTTGTAAGATCCAGTCACAGCTCACATTACAAATCACACTTGTAGTCTGTGCTTTTCAAACTTTCCATCTGAATCACCTGAATGCCTTGCTAACACCAGGTCCTCCAGGTCCCCAGGAGGTTTGGTTTATTCAAAGGTCTGGGTAAGGACTCAGAAGTTGGCTTCCAACAAGTTCCCAGGGGATGGTGATGCTGGGAATCTACGGCTCAGGCTCACTGAAGGGCCGCACTGACACACAGGAGAGAAGAAAGCCAGGGCCCTCCCAGCACGGAAACTGGGGGAGGACTTACAGAAAGATTCATGGAATTAGCATGGGTAAGCCTGCCTAACCTGTACTGTATTCTCTCTGCTTTTCTGTTTTCCAAATTTTATTTAGATTTACACACACACACACACACGTGCACGTGCACACGCGCACTCCTCCTCTAAATACAGACAGACAGACATCTCCTCCACTAAATGTAGGCACTGGGTATGGATATACATACACATATTTAATAACAATAATGATGTTTGTGGCAGCCGTGTCACTGCAAATCTTCAATATGTGTATGAACAATGTCACCCATAGGTCTTTCCCAAATCATTCCACAACTGATCTTTTTATCTTAAGTATTGATTTTAGGTGTATCACAATGTAAAAGTATAGGGGAATCAATGCCAAGGGTAAAGTTCATTAGCTTCACAGATGCTCTGCATGTTTAAAATGGGCAGACACAGCAATCATCATTTTAAACTCGTCTGTGCTGTCTTTTTTGGACTAAAAAGATAGTCCAGAAAGAAGAACTTGGAGTTCTCAGTCCTACTTCCCCTCTGACATTTGTTGACGGTTCAGTGTTTCTCAGGCGATGACCCCTTCTTTCTATTTTCACAGCCTGATGCTGTTAATCATGGTTACTATTTTCCATTACACCAACATGCTCTGGGCCATGGCCTTTCCTACAAACTGTTTGCCTTTGCTTCTCTTTGGAGGGAATCTACCGAAATGACTGCTTAGCCAGCCTGCTCCTGGGAACTGTTTGCATCCTGTGGAGGGGTGGTCATGCTTGTACTTGTAACAACATCCCTTTGGCCACAGCTGATCGGTTGGGAACCAGCACATGTCCAAACTGGATCAACCAACTTCTTCCTAGGAATTGCAAGTCGAGAAGAAGTCTTTTCTTTCAAAACAGCTAAACAAATGACACACAGTCAAGAGCTATTTGGCACCTTTTCCTTTCCATCATGTTGGCATGTTCCATCATGTTATCCGGATGGCCACGCACACAACGAAGGGGAGAGAGTAGATATGAAGGTGAAATCACACTAGTGTGTCCCTGAAAAGAAGGCCCTGACCTCTAGCTGCTGGAGTTCCCACATTTCCCTGATTCCTACCATTTCTCATGCTGAAATTCCATCATGTACTTCTGGATCCTGCCCACAAAGTGAACTCTCTTTGTTGTTTGAACTAGGTAGACTTATTGATACCAGCAGAATCTTACCCAACCAATATGCTCTCTTTTAAAACTAAGTAACAGTCTTTCTAGACAGTCATATTTTACTTCTGATTTCATTTGGTTCTTTCCATTTTTTTTCCCTCACTGAGCTCATCAATGAAGTATGGTTAATTTTGCCTTTTAAATCTCTCCTTTCCTCGCCCATCTCTGGTTTTTTAGCTTTGTTTTGTTTTGAGACTGGGTCTGGCTTTGAACTCAGAGTTCTCCTCCCACGTCAGCCTCCAGGCTGCTGGGATTACAGGTGTGCACCGCTGCACCTGCCACTGCCCATCTCTTTACACCACCGCAGTTGTTTTTCTTGGCACTTTCTGAAATTTTCCATTGCAAATCTACAGGCTGTGTGGATACACCCAGTGCCCGCTAGCCCACTATAAAACTCCACGTGATTCTGTCACTTTGTCCTGAAGCTTTGGCCCTTCCGTCTCATCAAACACTGCTTCCTAGCAGGAAGACAGGGGGCCCAATGCACTTGCCCCTCACAAGTGATATTTCCCTTCCATTGTGACATGGAAGGAATTCAGGTGAAACACAGTGAGATGACTACTTTCAGCTGAATGCGACTTATAGTGCGATGCTGGATAATTAATGGTCTCTCCTCCTTTCTGGGCAGTTTAGTGCTATCTTCCAGGATGTTTGTTCAAAGAAACTCCTGCCAATGCACAGCACTTCCAATGGTCTAAATCTTTTTATAGTCTCCTGCAGTGACAGGCTAAATAGAATTAAAAGGTATTTTATACACCTGCCACCCAGCTGCAGGTTGGGGTGGGAAAGTGCGCAACAGCAGCCAGTGGAATGATCTGGTTTCTCTGGAACGGGACCATAAGTGGGGAACACAGGCTCCATCCACATCTTCGCTGGGCGCCTCCACTGAACACACCCAGAGTCTCTGGAGGACAAGGATGACCTCCAAAAGGACATGGGGTGAATATGAAAGAAGGGTGGCCAAAAATGTGGTTAGGAAAAAGTAAAAACCTGGGAAAATTTTGTGGGTTCTGTAATCAGAAAGTGACAATAAACATAAAACAGTCACGTGTCTTCAAGGGTGGATATATAAAAAGGATTCTTAAAAGGTAATTACAGGGGAATGGTTAAGTAAATTATAGCATAGAACATTATAGAACTATCAAAAGTGACTACACAGTTATGGAGATGAAAACATTCTGCAGCTTACTAGGTTTAAAAACAGGTTACAAAACAGTATAATCAGTAAGATCCAATTTCTTTAAAAAGACACACACACACACACACACACACACACACACGCACGCACGCACGCACGCATGGAAAGTTGGATAATATCAGGCTTTTCAAACTGTAGTACATATGTAATTCTGTGTTAACCAAATCCGTGAGTCTGGTAAGATTCGAACAGGGATTCAGCAGGTTCACAATGAGGGGCTGAAACGCTGCATTTCCAACATGCCCCTGGGCAACACTAATGCTGCAGATTCCATGGACCACATTTAGGAACAAGAACATAGAACATGTGATGAGATCATTTACTTTTCTTCTCCCCTTATACCTGGTTTCTAATTATTTGAATTAAAAGAGGAAAATTAAAGGACATGCATTGTTTTCTGCTATGCAAAAATAACTTTATTTTAAAAAGAGAAAAAGATAAGCAAAACAGCATGTCAGGAGAAGTCTTATAAAACTGCCTAAAAGTCAGGCAGCAGAGGAAATGTACAAACCAAAGAACAGAGCACAGGGCAACAGACACGTCTGATAACAAATCTGTAAAAAAAATTTTTTTAGACAAATGGTATAAAAAAGACAAAGCTGGTGGTATCTGAGGTATAAAGAGATTCCCCCCCCCCCCCAGAAAGCAAAGAAAGCAGTGATAAATAGCTGTGGGCCTGAGCTGCCCAGGTGCAGAAAAGAAAGCAGTGATAAACAGCTGTGGGCCTGAGCTGCCCAGGTACAGGCGCTCTACTTTCGCCGGGCTATGGAGGCCCACACGTACCCAGGATCCAGGTATGTGAGAAGGGCTTGTTTGCCGTTTTGAAGGATTTTCTCTAATAAAGAGCAAGAAATGAACTGTGGACATAACCAGTTAGTTAAAAGAAGTTAATTAAAATTAAAAGAAACTTTCAGAAAGTCAGGACAGATTATGCCTAAGCCCAGAATACATACTGGAGTTGGATGGCCACCTGGGTTGTGAGAGGGAGGGACTCTTAAGACCATGTGCAGGGCTGGAAAAAGCTGGTCTCCCTTGCCCGCTGCATTTGGGGAAAGTGTGCGCCCCGAGCCGTCTGCATGGAGGAGACGCAATTCCTCTATGAAACACCCAGAGTCCCAGGCCAGGGAGGTACATAGCACACTGTCTAATAGCAGGCAGCTGCAGTAATCGTGACGAGTGGTTAGAGTTCTGCTACCTGGTACAAACATGGAGTGATGAGCCACAGACTGCCGAGGTGCTGTCATCACAGATGGGGATGGAAGCCACAAGTTCCCAACCCCTAACCCATACCCAGGGCTGAGCCTAACTTCAGAAAAGAAGGCAGGCACCAAGAGTTCTGAGTTTGTGTGCTACTGAAGCAAGCACAGCAAATGCCTCTTCGTTACCAGTATTTCTTACTGGGTACCTTAAATTGCTTTGTAACAGTAAAAGTAATAGTGGTATCCAAAGACCACAATAACAGTCAGCACACTTGGCTGATAAGCCGTCACTGCCAGTTACCAAAGGTGAGAGTGGACAATATGGACGAGTGTCTGCCCTCTGCTGGACACAAGGATGGCAATTTGGGTAAATGAAGAGGATAAATAATGTCTTTGGGATCATAGCAAAGTCTTAGCTACTTCCAAGACACAAGAAGCCTAACAGGGCTGACTTGACATTTTCTTGACACAAAAATTTAACAGAATAATTCCTCTGAGACAGTAAACCTCGCTGTGCCCTTAGAGTGCTATGAATGGACACATGCAAGTCTGTACCCCAAGAAGCCCCCAAAAGCACAGAATCCTCCCAAACACAAAAGTGGAAAATCTTGGAACCCAGCTGAGAAAGTGGCTTGTTTAAAAACGTGACTGTGATAGTGACATGAGCCGAGGTCGTCCCATGCTCCCCTCCCTTCCCATCTCTGGTCGGCTTCCTAGACCTCTAGAGTCCAGTCCCGGTCCCCCAGGTCCCAGAAGTAAGAAGGAAATCCTATAGAGGAGATCAGCAAGGACGTGCAGGAGGAAGAGGTATTCTTCATGACAGAGGATAATGTGGGTGAAGAGGGGCTTTGATGCATCCTTTGGTTAAATCAAGACTTCCACACCCTGGCTGGTAGCCCATGTTAGGGGCCAGGAAATTAGAAGGACGAGGGCTGGATAATGCTGAAAACTCATGTTATTTTGTGAGGAACTGGAGAGATATGATTTCCCCTTTTCGAAGAGTAAGTCCAAAAACTGGAGCCCATCATAACAAGTATCTACGGCTTTATGTCACTGTGGCATCTTTAGAGACCACTGAAGAGTATGCAGTTATTCACTACTCAGTTTCTAAAGTGAGCACTCATTCCGTAAGGGCAGAATCTAGATAAATTTGTTTCCAGAAGTGCTTCCCTACTCCTTCTCTCAGACTCTCTACTGTAACTTCTTCCTAGTTTGCAGTCAAGATGAACCAGGTGACCAAAGTTAGCAGGGGTCCTAGTGGGATATGCAATTCCAAATCTCTAGGGTCTGGCCTGAGAGTGGCTTCATGCTGGGTACGCCAAGAGTTTGTCAGTTCTGTACTCAATATTGAGTTTGTTCTATTTTATTTTTCATTTATGCTCAAATTTCAGTAATGAAGTTGCTAATAAAGAAGCTTTATGAATAAAGAAAATACCATTGAGGATATAAAAGAAAATACCACTAGAGAATAGGAACTGGGGCCTTTACAGCCATTAAACAAAATCATAATACTTTTAACCTAGTAAACTTAGAATATATACTATTAGCACATTTATCTGCAGAATGAAGGGCAAAGCTACCCTAAAATACAGTCTTGATTGTTATTATTTCAATAGCAATATATCCTATATTCCAAAATTTCTTTCATAATTTTGAAGATAATGTATAATGTCTCAATACATGTATGAATAATGTGAGTACAATCGATCTTACAGGAATCACAGTGACTTCTCAAAGAACTGAACTAGGTGTGAAATACACTTTTGACTGCTCTGTTCCCCACTCTCTGCCTCAGGGGCACAGACGTAAGTTTCAAGCAGGTGGCTCCCAAACCTGCCTGAGGTCTCCACACTGCCCCTCAGCATCCTCCTTTCTTTAATCAGAGGGCTTTCTTGTGCAAAGGCTCCTGCCATCTCCCAACTGTTACTGGTCAAGCCAAAACCTTCAGCTCAGAGACCAAACAGTGCAGTTCCCACATGCTTTGCGGCCGAGTCCTTCGCTTGGTGCCTTTTCCTCCTCCTACTCTCCAGCCACACCCCCCTCACACGGTGTCCCAGAACTACTCGGGGCCCACTGCTGCTCAAGGCCTTTATGGGGTCCCCTGCCTGATAGGTCCAATTTCCCTCCAATTCCTTCACTTCAGAAATACTCCTTTGGGAGAGGCTTGGCCTGCCTGCCTCCCACACTGTCCAGTACATGGTCAGGGCCATTTAGGGATGTTTACTTCTTTCCCAGACTCGGAGGCCTAGACAGTGCCAGGCAAGTCTCTCCCTGTTCTCCCTGTGCCACTCGGCACAGGGTCTAAGAATGCAGTGGCTCTTAGGTGAAGGAAATGAGCCAGGGCCCAGCCCAAGCACCGCTCTCCACTTCTGTGTACTTACGATTTCCACAGTTGAGACCACCAAGGCCAAACGGGCAACTGCAAGTTAAGAGAGAAAACGGAACAAGAATGAATTCCAAATCTCAAAGGAATGAACAGAGGCAATTTGCCTGAGTAATTTCTTTACTTAGGACAGTTCTTCACTAGGATAGACTTTATTTTAGGGTAGTTTTAAAGTAAGATCAGAATAAGTGAAGTGGACCTACCTCATACAGGTTTCATTTTCAAGTCTATATCCGTCTTCACAAGCTGAAAGAAGAAAAGGAAAATTCATTAATGTATCTACTTATCTCTCATGAGTCAACTTAATATTAATTAAATGTCACCCACTCTGTTGTCCACAACGATATTCTAGAATCAGAAGGCTGAAGACACCTTTAAAATTATCTATAACCTAACTAAACACTATTGTTAGGTAAATTCTTAACCTCATTAAGAAACTTTTCTTAACCTCTTTGTGGCTCTCAGTTCCCCATCTATAAAAAGACGGTAACAATTATAAAACTACCTTATAGTTTCTAGGAGGAAATTAAATAAAATGAAGCAACCAAATGGTTCAGCATAGGCTTGGCACACAGCAAGCACTACATAAATGTTTGCAGTTATAACTGTTATCAGCAAATGCAATTCTTTTTGGAAAGTCTCTACAGATAAAAAATCTTACTCAAAAGGAAAGAACAATTGGATGAGAAAAAGAGGAAAACAAAGGAAAAGATAACATATATACACACATGAGATAGCTAATTATACTACTAACCTCTGTTAGGTCATCAAAAAAAAAGTCTGTGCTTTCATTGTTTGGTCATTTTTTTCATGCCTTTATCCTGTAAACTGAGCAACTACTTTGAAGATAACAATACACTATCTATTAACCATTGTTAATCTCCTATTGTGTTGTTTTGAAATTCTGTATCATTGTTTTTTGTTCTTTTTTCATTAAAAAAAGTCTCAGCTGGACCTGGTAGCACATATGTGTAATTCCAGTACCCTGGGAGGCTGACACAGAGGACACAAAATTTGAGCCCAGCCCAAACAACTTAGTGAGACTCTGTTTCAAACACAAAAAAGAGCTGGAATGTAGCTCAGGCCCTGGATGCACTCCTCAGGATAACACTCACTCACCAAAAGGAACAGAAACAAAAAACCAAGTCTCCCATGGCACATCCTTTCACAGGCACAAGGACAAACTTTTAGATCTTCTGCCTTCTCTGATGTAAGTGCCTGACACTGGTCTTATTAGCCTGCTCCCATGAGGTGGAAGGTGTAGGTGATATCTTCTGAGACACGATTCTGGTGGTACCCAGTTTTTTATAGGAAAATGCTCACTTTAACATCTGAAGGAATTCTAGACATATCTAATGTGTCCTAATTGACAGATTGCCCACAAACAACCCTGAACCTTGTGGTGATGCCACTCCTGGAACGCTGCTTCACAGGAAAGGCTGAAACCCAGCTCTTCCCCTGGATCACAGTTCCCAAATTTATCTAAACACAGAAATACTTTCAATACTACAATAATTCAATAGAACACCATGAGCTGTATGCATGCTTAGATGAAAGCAGATAATGAAAAAAAAAGACACCTTGCAGACAAATTCTCTGATGCAAGGAATGATTAAAAAATTGACTCATGATTAATGTCTGGTATGTATTGCATAAAAGGTTACAGATGAAAAAAAGGTAAAAGGTACCAATGCTGCTGTGCCTGAGCAGGAAGCCAGCAGACACACAGAGTTGTGCATACTTGTGGGATGAATAATAAGAGAGAAGACTGGAGGGGTAGTGTGTGGGCCCTCAAGACTCCTCTGCTGCAGAATTGTGCGGGACATTATTAACTGTGTAGATGGGTTTCATATTTTTATCTTCTACTTTTTAAATGTGAAAGGTCAAATATTTCTGGCATCTATTTTACTTCATAAATCATTTATCATCACGAGTTTTATGGAACATGGTTTGGAAAACATCATTCTAAATAATCTATAATTTGAGCTAGGCATGGTGGAGCATGCTTATAATCCCAGTTTATAATCCTCTTGAAAGCTGAGGCAGGAGATTGCAAGTTGGAGCACAGCCTGGGGAATTTAGTGAATTAACAAACCCCACCTCAAAATAAAAAAAATAAGTAACTACATAACCTATAATTTATCTCATGGCAGATTAAAAACCATGATCTTGGGCTGCACTGTTAGGGTTCCGCAGAATCAGTTTTCCCAAGCTTCACTCTCTTATCCTGAGGGGTATTTGTTTTATAACAAGTAGCCATAGGAAATCCTTATGGCATTTATTAGAGGATGCCATGGACCCTGCTGCCACAATACCCTCAGGGACCCCTTAGTGAAGTGCCCAGAGAAATTTCTCTTGGGGCCCAGTGCTTTGGAGGATGGACCTGCTCTTGGACAAAAACACTCTATTTTATGGAACCTGGCTCTTTTTAAAAATTAATTTTTTCCTTCATTCTGATTTACTTTTTAATATTTTAAAATCTTATTTTATTATATCGATTTTTATTAGGTGCTTTAAACCTTTTATGCAAAAAGACAGAACATTATTATCTCATTTGGAGAAGGGGTTGCAAGACCCCATTTCCCTGTCTTTGATGCCTTTGAACTTTTTGCTGCACTGAGGTGGGTTGATGTCACCTGGCTTGTACTCTGGACTCTTCTTCCTGAAAATGTTTTTGTATCAGATTTACCTACCTAACCCTCACCTGCTGTGCAGAAGCTCTCTACTCTTTGGCTATCATTCAGCCACGCATAAGGTCCATCTGCTGTCCTACATGAGAGCCAATGAGTTGGGATATTTTCATTTAGTGGCAGAAGTGGTCTGATCCCTGGTGTCTATTTCAAAAGGGCTAATTCAGTCATTTATCAAAGACTGAACGCTACTGTGTGCCCAGTGCCCTGCTAGGAGCCCTGCAGGGAAACTGCCTCACAGCGAGACACTTCTGTGCTCGTTAGGGGCCAGTTTCTCATCATGTACAGCCCAGCGGGACTCTGACCAGAGAGCACTAAAGATGAAATGAATGTGACAACAGCTTACATAAATGCCCCAACTGGGCTTCCCCCATTGCTATGGGAGATACGCAAATTAAAGCCCTAGGGTTTAAAAAAAATAAGTAAATGATAGAGTCTTAATAAACAATTTTGATCCTCTGCAGGCAGTAAGTCAAGATGTGCCAATCTTTTCTTACCATATTTGCTGTCTTGCTGTCCATGTGTTCCTTTAACAGACATTTACTGAGTCCTACAGTGTGTTAAACCCTATTCTAGGTGTGGCTCTGGCCCTCCAGGTACTTGCAGTCTAGGGAGATGCAGATAGATTGTTAGAATTCATTGAAATCCTTGCTTGATGGAAAGAAGTTGAGAAACCTATAGGAAGGGGACCCATTTTACTTTTTAATCTACCTTTCAAAGTTTGGTAAAGACACGTAAAGATTTTTATGTGAGACACTAAGAAGCATGTGTGTTTGTGTACAACTGAGAACAGTACAAAAACTGGCTTGAACGGTACTGATTTAGAAATAATTCCTCCATCTCCACATGGGACTAACCAAATCTGAGGCATCTAGAAGGGTTATCATCATTTGACACATGCCTGTGCTCCAGCACCTATGGCCACAAGATGTCACTACTAAGCTATGAGAACAAAGCCATCAAGGCTGTGGCCCCCCAAGTTTCAGGGTCCACTCACGGGAAGTGGATAGCTATGGTGCTGCTTTATGACCTCAGCAACAAGACCACAGGTTAATCAATGTGTTCTCACAGCGCCTCTTGGATCAATACTTAGTTAACATAAGATTTCTGGGACCTATGCCATTACATTTAGTAAATCTCTGACAACCCTGCCATTGCTAAGCTAGCCTCTGGCACAATTAGGAAATTGCTGATTGGGAAACAAAGGGAAATAGCTTGTGCCAGCTGGAAGCAGAGGTGGCCGAGCTATTCCTGCAGCACTGCACACAGGGCCACCTCCCCACATGCCTGCACTTCTACCCATATTGTCCCCTCCTGGCATCTGCTTAGCATCCAGCATACATGGCCTTCAGTGCCATCACCTTCCCATGGGAAGCCGGGCTCAATTCCCTGTCCCCCCTTCTTATTTTATGAAAAAATAAGACAAAATTTCGTAATCAAATAAGAGAGTAACAATAGCTATTACACTGTGTATTACTGTCTTCAAAGTAGTTATAAGAGTACAAGACATAAACCAAAAAGACTCTTAAAAAAAGAAATAGATAAAAACACAAATCTTTCTTTTCAGTAAATTAAGCAAACCGGTATTATAAATGAAACTGATTAGCATACATATTGAAGTATTTTTAAAACAATGGAGTTTGTAATTTGGGGAAGTATTTGAGTTCCTTATGTCCTATTTACCTCTTTCTTCTACTTTGCTCTTTATTTCTGTGTGTGTATATATATTTTTTTATTTAAGGAGAAAAAGAAAAAAAACAAAAAGGGTACAAGTAATACAAAATTTAAAAAATAAACAGTAAGAAATCACTAGTTAATAGATTACATATTCTCATCTTAGAAATAGTTGTTCAAGTTACAAAATTAAAGCATATAAAGTGGACTTTCAAACAGTGAGAGTGCAAACAGTTTTGTTCAATGATCCAAAAAACTCAGTAATATGGTTATCCATCCTACACACTCAAACGTATATGCAGTTATAACTTTAGAGCACTATCTTTTGTTTTCTTTTGTACAATGACAATTATACATTTTGGGTTTTATTACTCCCACAGTTCTTATTACTTTTTTTGAAGAGAGTAAAACCAAATGCGACATATCAGAACAGAGTCAGTCAAATCAAAAGGATGGACATAATAGATAATGTAAAAACAAAATACTAGGTGATCAACAATGGTAACCATACTGCCTCTTGCTATCTTAAGAAGAATTGCCTAAATCATCAGTTATAATAAAATTGAACAAAAGAGTAAAGAATACAACCAAAACATTAGAGGCATTACAGGACTTTAAAAGAAGATAATAGTCAACCAGAATGGGTGTCTTAATGAATCTTATTGTCTTCACAGTTGTTGCCTATACTTTCGAACTTGGTACTATCAAGGAAAGCAGAATAGGGGAAAATCAGTCAAAACAAGATGGTGAGGGCAATACAGAGTTTCAAATCAAGTTAACTGGAAATCAAAGTAGGTTACTATAATGTATCCTGCTATTTTTTATTTATTTTTCCCTTAATTAAAAAGATAAGAATAAAAAAGTAACTAATTTTAAAAAAAA